AGTATCTAGAATTTAAAAATGCAATTGCACCTATGGTAGAAAACGATAACAAGAGTATGAGTTTCGGGTTGGCCAAGAAACGAGCATAGTAAATATGAGAAACACACGATTTAGAATAACATTAAACGAAATGTAAACATAACAAACAAACGCACACTATTCGGCTTCACTTAGTTGATAATAACGTTACTGATATTCTTTGTTATACCTGGTCACCAGCGCCGACATCCTCTTCTTCGCGATTAATGTGCACGCCGTTGGCAATATCGGGTGATTGTTGTTCAATGGCAACGAGCAGGTTTAACGTCTTCCAATCGAAACCTTTTTGATTTTGGGTTGATGTTTATGGTATTTTTAATTTTAATATAGAATATTCACATGTGCACATAATTACAGAAACAACGCATTGAGCTATTTCTGAGGCCCACCCACAAGATTATATATATTCTCAACTTTTATGCCAAGCGAAGAAAACTTACCCTTCGAGGAGTCATCGTAACCAATGTGTTGGACCGTCTCACGCACAACCTTTTGATAGTCAACCACTGCCTTGGATGTAATTTCACCGCAGAGCAGAATCATGCCAGTCTTTGCCACCGTTTCTATTTTTAAAAATGATTTAAAATAAGATTCAGCGATTCAAATAATGCAATGTCAGTGGGCTGGCTCAGAGTTAAATAAATCATAAGTTTATTGTTTTACTTCTGCAGTTGGGGATAGCTTAAGATAACTTTTTTAAATGCTTATAAACTGATTAGAACTTTATGCGTTTAATAACTCAGTGCTCCACTAACATGCATTTATTCCAATATTTTTTAATATTTACCACAGGCCACTTTAGCGTTAGGATCTTGTCGTAGATGGGCATCTAGGATGGCATCACTAATTTGATCGCACATTTTGTCTAAAAAATATGATAAAATAATAAATCAATCAATGCTGTTTTGTATTTGTAGAGTATATATGATATAAGTATACGCGAATACCCAGACAAAGGCACCGCGACGCCACTTTGGCAGCAGCCGAGTAGACTCGCCAGCTAAAATTGCCGGACAAAGCAGTTTATTTTCATTTTGATTTTGCGATTGACAGCGAAATTCTATGCCGCGTAAAATTTTAGGGCTCAACATGAAGAAAGAAAGACTACACGTGCTTATAAAACGAGCTGGGTTTAATTTTACATTACGCCATTTTCGACGGGAATATATTACTCAAGTAAACAATATTGATAAATCGCCAAGGAAGGAAAAGTGTTTAATCATTTAAATGGCGCATCGTGTTGGATTGGTTCAATGTATATTATTTAAATACTAATCTACATAAATACATTTTTTTTTTAGCTGAGAGCTTTAGGCGCCCCTTTGTCTTTTTAGGTTCCGGGGGTTGCTGATAACCTCACTTCAGATCAGCGTTCGTTTACTAGAATGACGATCAAAAAATGCCTGGAATAAACCGCCTCATCATGTCCGGTGTATGTTGGATGATCAATTTGAGATGATACAAATTTTACAATACCTAATTTAAGTGTCATTAATGTCAGGAAGTACTTTTACAACCGTGACAACGGTTAAGAATGCTGACAGCATAGATAAAGTAGCACATAAACCAATCCATCAATCAGCCAAACGTACAATTCTCATCTTGTGTTGATAATATAATTTTGTTTATCATCTAAATACATGCATACATATGTGCATAGTCAATACGAAGTTCCCATTTAAGCCAACTTAATTAGTTTCGAGAGTGCTTAGAGCTATCAATGTGTCGCACAAATGGGTCAGTCGTCCTTATCACTAGGCTGTAGTAATACTACTATAAGAGCATACAAAGATTTATACATACATATATGTATAAACATATATCAACTGGTATTTCATTTGTATTTCTCAGTTTGTAAATTGGGAATACAAACTAAAATGCAATGCAAAGAACCAATAAATAAAACAAAGCTTGAAAACCACGTGGTCCTAAAATTTGCAAATTGATAAGCTGGGGAAATATAGTGTACGGATGTTAAATATCATTACCTCTAGAATACCTCAGAATAAAGACAAAATTCCTATATGTTGTACTTTAGTTTACGCATTTATATGTATGTATGTATATGTGCGTGTATTTCAGATGTAATTATTATTGTATATTTAAGAATGGGTAAAATTGTACAAAAAGTACGTTTGCGATTGTTTTGATCGTCATTTGCCGAAAGAGAACCGGTAACTCAAAAGAGTAATAATCAGAAAAAGCACATGGTGCGCATGACGCACTCTGTGTTGTGCAAAGCAATCTATACAAACATACATACATACGCTCTAACAAACATACAAACATACTGCTGTGCGTATGTATGAATGTAAATTGAACACGTTGCCGGGGCAGCCTCTGTAGCAACAGCACTTCGGACCAAAAATGAGCGACCAGCTGGTAGTTGTTGGACAAATGATGAAGGCTTACATACGTACCACAAATATGTTGACATTGTTTTGTACGTATGAATTTTAAACACAAATGGTTAAATTAACATATGTATGTGTATTGTATATGAGCTCCTAAAACCATGGCTTGGATCGTTAGTAAAATATCACTTATTTGGTATAAGTAAATAACATAGAGCTGGTCACACTAACCAATTGCTATTGTTGTTCTGCTGAGTAAACAAGCACGTTTTTCGATAGAATTTTCTACCTACTAAAGCTAATTATATAGAAAAATAATAAAAATTATTAACATCAAACATTGTAGCTACCAAGCAAAGCGATGGACTGGTAGAACAATTGTAATAACACTAGCAACATTTTATCAAAACTTGATAAACCTATGTATGATTGTATGTACATACAATTATGCCTTAAATTGTACCAAAATGTGAATATGTTCAGCAGGAGGTACATAAGTATGTATGTATGTATGTATGTATATGTTATTGAGCATGCCCGCACTGTGTGATGCAATAAGGAGGTCGGAATGGTTAGCTGGCGTCGTCTCTCGTTTGCGATTTGAATGCACTGCAGCTAATTTAGGCCTGCAAATTTATGTATTTGTGTGTGTATATGCACTTACCTGGGTGTCCCTCACCCACGGATTCGGAAGTAAATAGAAAAGTTTGTCCATCTTCCATATCGTAAGAATTTCCATTGCCATTGCTGCCATTAAAGCCGTTGGCGTTGGTAGCGGTGTGTCCATTGGTCTTTTGCGGCATTTTGAATGTAGCTTGTTATTTATAGTTGGTACTATGTCAAGTGGCTAAAGTTGTTACTGTATAAAACAAAATAGTTGTTATTTATAAGAGAGAAATTGATTTTCCCAAAACTATCACAAACAACAAATCTGATGCCAATTGTATACCGCCGCTTGATGTGTGCGTATTTGCCATTTCTTACTGATATATTTTTTACATACTCTAATGACAGATTATATTATTGTTATTTTTATATAATCAGCAAACGCATTTTACGGTTTATGCTGTGTTTGATGGCAAGTCACGCACACACGCCACAGCAGCTATACATACTTATGTACATACATGTATATATGTATGAATAAACATACACACCGACAAGCAAGAACTGTTCAATGAAAGTGTATTTAACTGGCTTTCTATGTATTTTAAAAGAATGGAATTAGAATAAATGATGCAGCCTCTGTGGGCAGTAAGTTGCACTGATTTTTCTTATATTTTAGCCGACGGGCAATCAAATTAGCGCAACTAAAACGCACGTCCTATCTCCGTGACGGTATGGTAGAAAAAGAGCGCACACTTTTCGCCAGCTATAGAATTTATAGCCATGAAGTGGGAGCGAACAACGATGGCGGCGCCGTGTGAGAGCGAAGATTCTCTCTTTCCCTCGCAGTGGTAACATGTATGTATGTATGTAAAAATGTATGTAGCTTGTTTTGGCGCTCCTATTTGTAGCTGCTGCCGCACAACTTTCCTACCGTTCTTAAGCTAACTCGAAAGAGCATCTCCACGTTTTTTCACGGCTGTTCGTAAAAACAGCTGTTTTGTACTGCCGTGGGTGGCTTAGCGTTGCCACTCTGTTTATGTATTTTTAAAAACAGAATAACAAAATATACTATTTTAATATGCCAGAACTTACGTTGTAATTTTACTGTTAAGAATTGCAATTTGTTATAACTTTTTACTGTTTACAATCGCTCGAACAGCTACTAACTGTGAATTTTTATTTGAAAATGTATGTTTTTATAAATATTTGTGGCTCAATCCGGAAAGATGATTAGGCGAAATTAAGGGCTTATCATTATTAAATCACAAATGGGTTGATGAAATATTAAAACACCCTGGGTAGTTGATGTACCTTTACATAAGCAGCGAGTGAATTCATATGGATAGTAAGTGTCTGTGTGCCCAACGATGTTGAGCATCAAATATCTCGAAATTTTATAGAACTGTACCAACTGGTTTATTTTGTCTGTTAATAAATTAAAGATCTATCTCTAAGAACTATATCAATCGACAATTTTGAATATACACGAGCCTTTTAAAAAAAGATGCGTCACTAACATGCGCCCGACAACAATTTCGGTATTTTAAAATAACAAAGAACCATAGAGAGATCGTGTCATGCTAATCACAAACAAGGTCGCCCAAGATCAAGGCGATCGGTAATCTGCTTTCTGCATAATAAATACAAAAATCTATTGAAAATAGCTGAAATAACAAGCCTCATTATCTTTCAAATGATGTTGACCCCCAGGATAGATTTGTTGGTTGCGCGCAAACAAAATTAACTTTATTTTACGCTATCATTTGTACAAATGTTAATGGCTTAAAATAATACAGAATTCCTTATTATTTGGACAACACGTTCTTTAACTAATTGCTATCTTAGCCTTGAACCACGGGATGAGATATATGGGCTTATCGAGACCGTTTAAGCGAGTGCTGAAGACCAATATTATTCGTTATTTCAGGCATACCCTTGTTAAGATGCCCAAAACCAGTGTGGTAAAGTAACAACAGACACAGGCCATTGATAAAACAGCTGTTCATGACGTGTTTGTGGTTCGTTAACAAAAGAAAAAATCGCAGCAATTCGCTTGCATTGTGTCCTTTTAGTAAAAAATGAAGGGGAAATTGATGGCGCTATGGGCAATAGCCATAATCATTTTCTTAACACAACAAACGTCAGCGCTGGACATACCAAATGACATCGCTGCTGCGGGGAAGAGTATCGAGAAAATAGTTGACACATCGCAGAACAACAGTACGGTAGTTAATGGACCTATTGTAAATATAAGTAATAGGACGACTAGTGAAAGCAGCCTCAGCGCCAGCTTCACGCCAGTTGAATCGAGCTCATCTACAGTCGGGCCACAAAATGTGAATGTATCAAAAAACGCGACCACGACAGTCACGGAGCCATCGTTAATTGATCCACACGCCGTTGAGCAGGAGCACAATTCCTCGCTATCGTTATTCTTTGTTATTTGCGTTATTATGCTGGGAATACTTTTGATACATTCGATGCTTCAGACTGGCTTTCAATATTTGCCCGAGTCCATTGTGGTGGTGTTTTTAGGTGCACTCATTGGCCTTTCACTGAATGTAATGTCTGGCGAAAATGGCAGCTGGAAACGAGAGGAGGTATTTTCACCGACGGGCTTCTTCCTCGTTCTTTTGCCGCCTATTATATTTGAGTCTGGATACAATTTACACAAGGGCAACTTTTTCCAAAACATTGGCTCAATACTGGTCTTTGCAATTTTTGGCACAACTATATCTGCCCTGGTGATTGGCGCGGGCATATACTTGTTGGGAATGGCTGAGGTGGCCTATCGGTGCGTATGTAATGTCACTAATGAGCAAATGGTCTTATAATTGCTTTCCTCGCTTCTAGGCTCAATTTTTCGGAATCATTTGCCTTTGGTTCCCTTATCTCGGCGGTGGATCCCGTGGCCACGGTAGCTATCTTTCATGCCCTCGATGTAGACCCAATTTTGAACATGTTGGTTTTTGGTGAAAGCATTCTTAATGATGCCATATCAATTGTGTTGACAGCATCCATAACCATTAACGCCAATGCTGACGCAGGCACGGGCGAGGCAATGATGAGCGCGCTGAAAACATTCTGCGAGATGTTTTTCGCTTCAGCTGGTATAGGTGTAATCTTCGCTCTTATATCGGCATTACTTCTGAAACACATCGATCTGCGCAAACATCCTTCATTAGAGTTCGCTATAATGCTAATGTTTACATATGCACCTTACGTTTTAGCTGAAGGTATACATTTGAGTGGGATCATGGCTATACTCTTTTGTGGAATCGTTATGTCACATTACACGCATTTCAATTTGTCGACTGTCACTCAGATTACTATGCAGCAGACTATGCGTACATTGGCCTTTATAGCAGAGACATGCGTATTTGCCTACCTGGGACTGGCCATTTTTTCATTCAAGCACCAAGTGGAATTGTCCTTCGTCATATGGTCGATTGTGCTTTGCCTGATCGGACGTGCCTGCAACATTTTTCCGCTGGCTTATTTGGTGAATAAGTTTCGTGAACACAAAATTAACAATAAGATGCAGTTTATTATGTGGTTCTCGGGTCTGCGAGGTGCTATTTCCTATGCACTGTCTCTGCATTTACATCTGGATAGTCAGGAGAAACGGCACGTCATTATTACTACTACGCTGATCATAGTTCTCTTTACAACGCTCGTTTTGGGAGGCTCAACTATGCCGCTACTAAAGTACCTGAAGCCTGGTAAAAAACGCCGAACACGTGGATCTGTACGCTCCTCAGACGGCAGTTCGCACAACACACATCGGAAGCGCAGCAAGTCAATATCTCTATCTAAGACTCGAGAGTGGGGACAGGCAATCGATTCAGAGCACTTGTCCGAACTGACAGAGGAGGAGGATGTCTCATTTACGCAAGCACGTGATCGATTCGGCCGTTTGGACCGCAAGTATTTTATACCCTTTTTCACACGTCGCTTCAACAGCCAGGAGCTTCATGAATGCAAGTCCCAAATGGCCGACTTAACCAACAAATGGTATCAGGCCATACGCATCAGCCCCTTAGATTCGGACGAGTCGGATGATGAGATTGGGCTATCGGCCAATACAAGCCAAAGTAATCTGGCACGGTCATAAATTAAGCCGTGCATCGGCTAATTAGCTGGCTGTGTACAAATATCTGAGTGTCCAAAGTATTTAGTGTATGTAAGGAAATGCGTTGTCGCAGAAAAGTTATTCATATTCCTATACCCTGTATTGAAATTTTATTTACAAAATGTGTATATTTATTGTGTGTGACGGTGGTGGTGTATCTCGTTGAGGTGTTTATATTTACGTATTTATAGTTGTTGCGCTTTAAGCAGTATTTTACTTATTCATAATTTTAATAATTCGCCATTTTTGAAATCACGATAGTGATCCAAACAGGAAGAATTTGAAGCTTTATACAGATCAGGTAGTTTTGTTTTATTACATGTAATATGTTGTGTGAAAATTTTGTGAGAAGCAACCATTTGTATCTCATACAAAATAAATTGTGATATAATAAATTCAACACAACTACATTTCGATAGTTAATAACACTACTGAGTCGTTTTTAAAGGGTTTGGGTTGCTTACAATTGGAAGAAAATATGTTTTATATTTTTGAGCATTTAACCTTCGATATAAAACAGCGATTATTGTGGATCACGATTGGCGACTTATCGATTTATGGATAATAAGCTGTTTCATCGCATAAAATCGTAGCAGCACATTAGAGTGACCAGCCTGCAAAAAGAAAATATGTTTCCAGTTATCGAAAGAAAGCAGTTGCCTTCGTTCCGTTTGATTCATTTTAAGCGCTGCCGTTTATTTTCCAAAAATACAAGTTTAGTTATTTATTGTTTTTCTTTCGGATGGCATATTTCAATGCATCGTTTTTTAAATGCAACGCGTATAACAGAGATGTGTGAAAATCCCTTCTCATATTGTGTGTGAAATTTACATCAGCACCAAGCGCCGCGTCGAGTCGGGTCTAACCTCATATGTATGCTTGTATATTAATAACGGTGTCCATAGACGTCCGTCATTATGCCTGGCTTTAAATATATAAGTGCAAATCGAATTGATAAAAACGAGATATTACTTTTCTGCAAAAAAGAGTGAAGTAATGCTTCTGCGCGTTAGTAACTGTTTGTTTTGTGTGTCCGCCAAGTTAAAAGATTAACTAAAACAAAAAAATTCTCTTAACTCGAGCTACATACATACATACGTATATATATGTAAAACGTTGTGTCAATTCGTCCATCAATCTGACCGTCTTTACTGATACATAAATGCAAATCGGGTTGATAAAAATGTGTAGAAAAGTTTTGGTGCAAAAAAGAGTGGAGTAATGCTGCTACGCAGTAGTACCTGTTATTTTTTTTTTTTGTTTTTGTTTTTGTGTGCTTATGCCTAAACGAAATTATTGTGTAAATAAGAGCACAGTGCTAGTGTGTGTGTGTCCGTATTATTAAAAAGCGGCCTGCGTTGCCTTGAGTCGAAGTACATGCATGTTTGCATTTATAACGGCGTCTTATAAGAAGAAAATGAAATTCTGCTGCGTAGCAGCATCTGTGTGTAAGAAGGATAGAGCAAAAGAAAGAAAGAAAGCTGCTGAGACTGAGCGTCTATAGAATACACAGGTAAGTATGCATATGAGTACATTTATATATTTACTAGCGGATATCCCCGGCCTTGTCGTGTTTCGTATTAAATAAATTCTATTGAATATCTTTGAAAATAAGTTTGAAAATGAGGAAATTTGCCAAAACCTAAAAACAAGAATAATGTTGCAAACTTTAGATGCTAAATTGAAAAGTCCGACTTATGGGGGTAGGACCATTTGTACATGCATTTTGAACAAGAATAATGTTGCCAGACTTAGATGCCAAATTGATCTATAGGCCAAACCATGAACCAAAGAAATATTTAAACGAAACAACTCGGTTAAGTCGAGCTACATACACATGTATGTAGGTATATGTATAACGGTGTGTCAATTCGTTCATCAATCCGACCAATTTTACTTATCATAAATGCAAATCGGGTTGATAAGAATGTGTAATTTAGTTTTCGTGCAAAAAAGAGTGAAGTAATGCTGCTACGCGTTAGTAGCTGTTTTTTTTTGTTTTTTTTTTGTGTGTCTATGTGCCTGCGAAGTAATGAGCGCCACTAAGCAGTTAATCGAAGTAATTGTGTAAATGAGCACAGATCTGCCTTCACAGTGTTAGTGTGTGTGTGAGTGTGTGTATTATCAATGAGCATCCTGCGGTGTCTTGAGTCCGAAGTACATGCATATATGCATTTATAACGGCGTCTTTGTCCGCCCGTCGTATTTTTACTACAGGAAGAAAATGAAATTATACTGCAGACTTATCAGCAACCATATGAAAGAAGGATAGAGCAAAAGCAATAAAGCTGCTGACACTGCGCGTCTATACAACACACAGGTAACTATGCATGCATATGTGTAAATTTACATAATTACTATTTACGCGGCCTTTCCGTGTTACGTATAAACTAAATTTTATTAAAGATCTTGGGAAATAATTTTGAAAATGAGCAATTTACCAGAACTTATACCTAAACCTAAATAAGAATAATGTTGGAAACTGTATATGGTAAATTGAATTGACCGAGATATCGGTTAAAATTTGACCGAGTTAGGGAGTGGGAAATATTGACTTATGTCTGTGTAGGGTATTTGAGAGTACCATTTTTACATGGATTTTGACCAAGAATAGGGTTGTCATATGAAGATGTCAAATTGATATTGAGGCCAAACTTTATGAAAATCGGTTGAATTCTGACCGAGTTATGGGGATGGGAAATATTGACCTATGTCTGTGTAGGATATTTGAGGGTACCATTTTCACATGTATTTTGGCCAAAAATAGGGTTGCCAAATTTAAATGTCAAATTGATTAAGAGGCAAAACCAAGAAGAAAAATCCAAACTTTATAAAAATCGGTTGAGTTTTGACCGAGTTATGGGGATGGGAAATATTGACTTATGTCTGTGTATGGTATATGAAGGTACCATTTTCACATGAATTTTGACCAAGAATAGGTTTGTAATTTTAAGATGTCAAATTGATTTAGAGGCCAAACCTTGGAGAAAAATCCGAACTTTTTGAAAATCGGTTGAATTCTGACCGAGATATGGGGGTAGGAAATATTGACATTTATCTGTGTAGGATTTTTGAGGTTTTTGAGGGGACCATTTTCACATGAATTTTGGCCAAAAATAGGGTTGCCAAATTTTTATGTCAAATTGATTAAAAGGCAAAACCAAGAAGAAAAATCCAAACATTATAAAAATCGGTTGACTTTTGACCGAGTTATGGGGATGGGAAATATTGACCTATGTCTGTGTAGGATATTTAAGCGTACAATTTTTACATGAATTTTGACCGAGAATTAGGTTGCTATATTTAAATGTCAAATTGATTAAGAGGCAAAACCAAGAAGAAAAATCCAGACTTTTTGAAAATCGGTTGAGTTTTGACCGAGTTATGTGGATGGGAAATATTGACCTATATCCGTGTAGGGTGTTTGAGGGTACCGTTTTCACATGAATTTTGACCAAGAATAGGGTTGTCATATTTAAATGTCAAATTGATTAAGAGGCCAAACCTTGGAGAAAAATCCGAACTTTTTGAAAATCGGTTGTTTTTTGACCGAGTTATGGGGGTAGGAAATATTGACCTTTGCCTGTGTAGGGTTTTTGAGGTTTTTGAGGGTACCATTTTCACATGAATTTTGGCCAAGAATAGGGTTGTCATATTTAAATGTCAAATTGATTAAGAGGCAAAACCAAGAAGAAAAATCCAAACTTTATAAAAATCGGTTGAGTTTTGACCGAGTTATGGGGATGGGAAATATTGACCTATATCCGTGTAGGGTGTTTGAGGGTACCGTTTTCACATGAATTTTGACCAAGAATAGGGTTGTCATATTTAGATGTCAAATGGATTTAGAGGCCATACCTTGGAGAAAAATCCGAACTTTTTGAAAATCGGTTGTTTTTTGACCGAGCTATGGGGGTAGGAAATATTGACCTTTGTCTGTGTAGGGTTTTGAGGTTTTTGAGGGTACCATTTTCACTTGAATTTTGTCCAAAAATATGGTTGCCAGATTTAAATGTCAAATTGATAAATATGCAAAACCAAGAAGAAAAATCCAAACTTTATAAACATCGGTTAAGTTTTGACCGAGTTATGGGGGTGGGAATTATTGACTTATATGTCTGTGTATGGTATATGAGGGTACCATTTTCACATGAATTTTGACCAAGAATAGGTTTGTAATTTTAAGATGTCAAATTGATTTAGAGGCCAAACCTTGGAGAAAAATCCAAACTTTTTGAAAATCGGTTGAATTCTGACCGAGTTATGGGGATGGGAAATATTAACCTATGTCTGTGTAGGATATTTGAGGGTACCATTTTCACATGTATTTTGGCCAAAAATATGGTTACCAGATTTAAATGTCAAATTGATAAATATGCAAAACCAAGAAGAAAAATCCAAACTTTATAAAAATCGGTTGAGTTTTGACCGAGTTATGGGGATGGGAAATATTGACCTATGTCCGTGTAGGGTGTTTGAGGGTACCGTTTTCACATGAATTTTGACCAAGAATAGGGTTGTCATATTATGATGTCAAATGGATTTAGAGGCCAAACCTTGTAGAAAAATCCGAACTTTTTGAAAATCGGTTGTTTTTGACCGAGTTATGGGGGTAGGAAATATTGACCTTTGTCTGTGTAGGGTTTTTGAGGTTTTTGAGGGTACCATTTTCACATGAATTTTGGCCAAGAATATGGTTGCCAGATTTAAATGTCAATTTGATAAATATGCAAAACCAAGAAGAAAAATCCAAACTTTATAAAAATCGGTTGAGTTTTGACCGAGTTATGGGGATGGGAAATGTTGACCTATGTCCGTGTAGGGTGTTTGAGGGTACCGTTACCACATGAATTTTGACCAAGAATAGGGTTGTCATATTAAGATGTCAAATGGATTTAGAGGCCAAACCTTGGAGAAAAATCCGAACTTTTTGAAAATCGGTTGTTTTTTGACCGAGTTATGGGGATGGGAAATATTGACTTATGTCTGTGTATGGTATATGAGGGTACCATTTTCACATGAATTTTGACCAAGAATAGGTTTGTAATTTTAAGATGTCAAATTGATTTAGAGGCCAAACCGTGGAGAAAAATCCAAACTTTTTGAAAATCGGTTGAATTCTGACCGAGTTATGGGGATGGGAAATATTGACTTATGTCTGTGTATGGTATATGAGGGTACCATTTTCACATGAATTTTGACCAAGAATACGTTTGTAATTTTAAGATGTCAAATGGATTTAGAGGCCAAACCCTGTAGAAAAATCCAAACTTTTTGAAAATCGGTTGTTTTTTGACCGAGTTATGGGGATGGGAAATATTGACTTATGTCTGTGTATGGTATATGAGGGTACCATTTTCACATGAATTTTGACCAAGAATAGGTTTGTAATTTTAAGATG